TTTCTGCGAAGGGGACGTTTTGTTTTGTGTGTGCGCGTGTTTTCTTGTGTGCTCCAGCGTCCCACAGGGTACGCTGGCGACGATCGAGTTTCGGGCCAGGTGTTCTGGTGCGGCGCCACTCTGTCTGGAACCCAAGGCTGTGCCAATGTTACGGAGCTGTCAGCCGTGGCCGTTGCGAACTTGATTGACGGCCGGGTCGGCCCCCAGCTGACCATTGGAGGGCTGACGCCCCGTGACTTCGAAAAAGTTTGAAACAATTGGTTAAGACTTCCCTGAGGGCGAGGGAGTGAGTGCCTTCAAAATCCTCTAACGGGGCGAGGGAGGTCGATTTTGGAGTGATTTGGACATCTGTAAGACCTGTTCGATCCGAGTATGCCAACTTCCCCTACTTTGTACAGTTGTACATAGTTTGTAAAATAAATCGGTTCGCCAAAGAACTCGCAAAGTCTCCATCGCCTCCTGAGAACTTCAACGACCATCGGCCTGCAAAACTTGGCAGGACCAAAGTACACCACCAACGAACGAACCAACATTTACTATTACATTTTATTGTATTTTAACTCTTCAATTACTTTTTTTCTGCCGGTAACGTTCGCTCTATTCGCGACTCCAGCGACCTATAGGGGGCGCCACTACCATAGAAACATGGCGGCTGAGTCCAGGTCGCGTCGGCTCGGCCGGGCCGCCTGAACAGGTGGCGCGTTGAATTTAACAGATTTTCTTTTGTTTAATTCCCAATTTTATAGGTATTTGAACTGAGACGGTTAAGTGTAGCCGGTGCACATAAACTTGCAGAGCATAGTTTTGTTTTCCAAGTGTGTTTTTTGTTCTTTTCGTGTTAAACTTTCGTTTCGGAGATTTCGTTCGAAACCGAAACCACGGGCTCTGGAGAGACGGTAATATGCTAATCAGTTTTGATCATCTAAGGAAAGCGGCAATGACTGCAGAATTCTCCCACCGACGGTAACTCTCAGCCAACTCGCATGCCTCGACCATGCGACTTATCATTCCGCGAAATCGAGATTTTTGTGCGTATCCGCGTTGAAGAAACAGCTTCAGTCGTCTGCTCGGTCAACAGCACAGGCTGAAGGAAAATTACGGAAATTAAGCAAGCGCTTCTTGAGCCGAGGAGCATGTTAACCTGCTGGCGCCTCACTAAGCAGCTGATACTCGTATTTCAATCCAGGTTTTAGTAGCATTCGAAAAGTCATTTTGACGAGCGGGTTATGTATTATATTACATACTATGTCCCACCAAAGCGATATAAGTATATTCTTCGGTTTGAAACATGAGCTTAGTTAACTAGCTATTAGGTGAACTGCTGAATAAAAGTATATTTGACAGACAGAGAGATACTAAGTTAAACTTAGCCAAATGGTTCTAGCCGGTAGCACGGAGAAGAATGCGGACAAACTGAAGAGAATCTTCATTGGAGATTCACGCAGAACCTCTCTGCATTGAACATGACTTCAAATCGTGAACGAAAAAAATTAGTATTTTTGTGGCCGGTCAGCCTGAGAAATGTAGACGTATATTTCTGTTGGCTTAATTCGACGGGGGTATAATATAAATATTGAAGGCGCGATAGGTCATAATGCCATGACAGCTTCTAACGTTGCGAGACGCGTGCCCCACCTATTGAAAGCAGATAATTTCCCTCATTCATCATTTGCAGCGAGCAGGTTTTTCTGAATCAAGTAATTGCGAAATCAGCCCAACTCCTTCAGAGTGGTCCAGAGGATTTTTCGGCGAAAAGCAGCCAAGATGAATAGCCAATGCACCCACCGGCGTGGGTGGCTCAAACTTGAAGCTAACCGAATACAACCAAACTCAAGAAAAGCAGCTATCGAACTTTCCCATTCACTTCACTGCAACATTAGTGTTCCCTCCAGTGAAATGCCTCGTCCGTCGTCCTCCCACTGTTCTACATCCTTCTAAAGAAACCCCTTATCAGTTACCCAGTAGTCGTCACTTTGAATGCGATCGAGACACAAGTAACAAAACGTTTTTCCGCGAATCCTCCCCATCCAAGAAATCGAAAACACGTGATGGAAGGAAACAAACTACTGAGGCTTCGCCACACTAATGAACACTCAGGCAAACTTAAGAAATTTTCGGACCTTCGTGAAATTACACGGCTCGCCACCGCGTCGACAACACGTGTCCGCGAAAGCCACCAGAGACGCGGAGGGGCGCGGAGCGACCCGGACCGGCTGGTTCCCGATTTTTTCGCTTGGTGGCGTCCGTTTCGCTGGAGTCGCGAATTTCAATTACCATTTTAATGTAATCAATTACAAGATGATCCATTATCTTTCCGAAAGAGCTAAAATTTTTAGTTGAATTCATCATCATCATCATTTATTAAAACCTTGAAGGCCATTGCTGGCATTACACAAGGTGGGTGTAACTGCTGAAGAAACATATAAAGGAACAAACAAAAAAGTGGGTTACATGCTGGAAAACATTGTTATATAAAGCAGCAAAAACAGAAGAAAAAAAAACACTTAAAACATTTTTAGGGAAAAACAGCTGATGAAACAGAAAAATACCCAAATAAAACATTTCTATAAACACGAGTTGACTTTACTATTAGTGTAAATGCAGATGGATGGTCAGTTGGGATATGAAAGTATTATAATCTGTCTGGGTCACGATACTGTTAGGCAGGCTATTGCAGTCCGTTATTGTGAATGGCAAGGTGGAGTAAAGAAACGAAACTGACGATGCGAAAATTGGACAAACTTTACAGACGTTATCAATGCGAGGAAATATACGAGTGGCTGGGGATAATAGTGAAGTTCTGATGTCATGGTTATGATAGTAAATCTTGTGAAAAAGAGAAAGGCGTGATAATTTCCTTCTGGTTGAGAGGAGATCAAGGTTAGCTTTCATTCGTAAAGAAGTGATGCTGGTGTCTCGTGAGTAATCTGAAAAAATGAATCTGATTGCGCGATTTTGAAGTGCCTCTATCTTTGTTATCAATGAATGTTGCCAAGGGGACCAGATGGGTGACGCGTATTCAAGTTGCGATCTTACGAGTGTAGTGCAGGCTAGTTGTTTAACTGATGATGGTGCTAGTTTCAGATTCCGTCGAAGATACCCAAGAGAGCGGTTAGCATTAGACAGGACGTGTGTTATATGCGTGTTCCATGAGAGATCGTCAGATAAGTGAACACCCAGATATTTGTAAGATGGACACTTGGTAATTACCTGGCTGCACATGGTGTAAGTGAAAGAGAGAGGACTATGAGCACGCGTGAAGGAAACGAGATTTGTTTTAGAAAAGTTAATTGTCATTTTCCACTGTTTACACCAGTCGGCTATTAGGTTAAGGTCAGCTTGTAGGGTTATGTTATCGTTCAGGTTAGATACAGATCGGTAAATTACGCAGTCATCAGCAAAAAGTCGAATACAGGATGTTATGCGATCTGGTAGGCCATTTACAGATGTTAAAAAAACATTGTTTCTTTATGTTTCTTTATGTAAGAAATCGCTCTGTCTGCTAGTGCATCACTCGTCTATGTTGCACCAGCGTTTGATTTATTGTTACCCCTAAACGACTAAAAAAAATTAGAGGACGCTTAAGCTTTGCCTTTAAAAGTTGGACGCGATAGCGTTATCGGGCCCCGTTCGTATCGCCTTCTCATTCGCTTTTCACGTTCTTCCTGCCAGTGAGCAGGAATTGCGGAGGGCCCTGCCTCGTCAGTAGCGTGTCTGGCTCGCAACCGGAGGGTCGTGGTTCTGAATCCCGCCTAAAATTCTTCCAAATTTTCTTTAAGGCAAATTAATTGCTTTATGAAGTGAAATCATTTGAGACATGAGGCAACCTCTAATTCGCATTACGTGACACGATTTTTAATCGCTTTCATTCCACGCATGACGTCATGTTTCAAGTAAGCGTTGTAAGTTGCTTGAAATTCCCGCGCGAGACCATGTGGCTCCGCGCGATGTCAGAGTATCAGATGTTTGAAAAAACACGACCTTTTTTTCCCCACCCTAAATTTTCACGTATGCGCCATTCAAGGGGGGTCAGGACATCTCCAACCTTCCCCGCCCCCCCCCCCCTTTTCCTCTAAATCCGCCAGGGGGACAACGCCGATGTGCTTCAAGCACTGTTTGCGCATTGTGTTAGTTGCATTGCGCGCTCGGGTGGCGAGATAAAATGGGCAAGCACAGAAAGCTTCCACTGCTATTCACAAAACAGGTATTGTCGGCACACCTTTGTATAAATTGTACAAACGACATTTTGAACGATCGCTCACCCTATGGCGCTGCGTGTCCGCGAGGCAGCGGCTCCACCGTTCCACGCCCAAGGTCAGCGCGTTGTACGCCGCATATTGAAGGGAGCGAAGAGCGGCGTGCGTGCTTTCGCATTCACAACTCATAAGAAGTGCTTAGGTGTACCTTGAGCCTTTCCTTCTTTGTTATGGAATTAAACGTTTCTGACTGACTGACTGACTGGCGTTTTCCAAAGGCGTTCTAAATGCATGGCAATTAAAGGGCTCTTTGCGCTATTACGTAGCCTAACGTGATAGTTACGCCGCCTAAGGCCACGTCACGTCATGGTACCACGTTAGTGTTAGCTGACGTCTGCATCACGTGATGTCACGGTGCCATATGAAGTCATATTACCACGTAACGGTGTAGCGAGACGTCACACTTCCATGTTACGTCACGGATGACCTATAAATTTTATGTATTTAGAGTTCCTTTAGAATGACATCACAGCGCTACCTGACACTGTGACGTCAAAGAGACTGTATGCAGATATACGAAAACTCTAAGGTGTGACCCTATTAATTTAATGCAATTAGAATGAGGCGGGCGGTAATTCTAGGTTGAGTGTTCACTCCCGATATCACGGTTGTCCCGTTTAGTCTTTTGTGCGCGATACATGCACACTGAATCGTTTTGAACACAAAAGGTATAAAATGCGTAACAATATCGTCGTCTACGCTATGAAGCTGACCTTCTACATATGTCGCTTTAAATTAATCCAGGTTTCCGAAGGATGTGAACACGTTCGCCATCGATTCCCAGTTCATGTGGGGACCGGCACTGATGATCCTGCCTATTCTTGAACCGGTGAGAAGTTTCGTTTAACGCGTAAAGAGCGCGAATGACAAACAAGGACACAATAGAGTTCACTGTACTCCGTTACATGCAAATACTGGGAATGAAGAAATAACTCGGCGCCTTATTCCATTTTCGTCTGTTTCTTCAAATATGACGGCAGATGTGTAAAACAAATGATTAAGGCCTACTGTCACTACTGCTTTAACTGCTTCTGAGGCCATAAACAATAAACGTTCCCCCGCAGAACATGACGGACGTGAAGCCCTACCTTCCCCGGGGCATCTGGTACGACGTGATGCTGGGCGCACCGTTTCACAGCGCGGGCGAGGACTTCCAGATGACCCCCTTGAACGACACCCTGTGCCTGCTCATTCGGGGTGGCCACGTGGTGCCGTCGCAAGAACCGGCCCAAACAACAGCAGCTAGGTAAACAAGGTTTGAAATAAACGTGAGGAAGCAAAACAAAATTAGGCCGTAAAAAGATTCGTTAAAAAGGCAGTGCAACGATTTTTGTACTTTCCGTGAGTACTGCTTCGAACTAGTCCTTGACGTTCATCACCTACCAAACATGCGTTAAGGTGCAACCCGACCGATAATGACGTTTTGCCACTTCTTAGACCATTTGGAACTTTTTATGCGTTTACTAGCGTCATAAATGTAATGTCAAATTAAAGAGCCCTTATTTAGCTATACTTTAATGTTTCGACATTATGTTTATCCTTAAATGTTACTTTGTTTTCTAGCGTTTAATCAACCATACTATAACATATTGAAATTTTTTTCTCTCAAGTTTAAACCTCCCAACGTCCACAATAATTTATGTGAACGGTCGGGGGACACAATAATTAAAAAACGTAAGCAATAAACTGTGCGAAGAATGTATATATTAAAAGAAACGATAAAGTTTAAAATTGTGTTATTTTCCCGTGCAACTGAACTACGAATTCAAATTATGAGGCATTAAATTACGAAACATCCTTCAACATTAAATTTTCTAAAATTTATATATCGATATATTACTCGTGAAGTATAGTATTTGATCTCAAACTTTTCCCCTTCAGTCACGGCAAGTTGCAGTATTTTAATATCGAATATAGACGGCGACACTTGTTCTAGGGTAGCTTGATGTGCAATTGCCGGGGTGTGCCGCTTGGAAAGCCACGTGAAGGACAGAAACGGCGCCACGTGTTTGGGTGTCAGGTGCCTGGATGCTTGCATTGAGCGAGCCAGAGATGTCAGATCAACAATCGCGAGGCTGCGCGTACACCACAGCTGCTTTTGCGTGCGCTCTACTGTGCGTGTGTCAGTATATACATGCCTGGCGTGATCCAAATGAAATGAGCGCCATGAAGGGGATTCCGCCACGTATGCCAAAACAAAACAACCCTTTCCAAAATCAGTTTGGCCGCATTGATCACTATCATTACCTGAAGAATGGCATCTGTGCCGTACTAATGGCGGCCTTCTATTGACTGATGAAAGGCGTTGAAGATGCTCCTAAGCGGATGATGCGACGCCTATACACTCAAGAGATTAGTACGATGAGACGCAGGCATAGAATACAAAAGCTTCGTATAAGCATTCATTCCTAACTTAGATTAAGTCAGTCTGTTGGTGGCACACAATCGGCTCTAAAGCCCTTCGGTGTTGAGAATTTTATTGAGGCATCGTTCTGACTGAAGTAACTGGACCGTGGGAAAGTAGCGCCAAGCTTACCGTAAGGTCGCCATTTTGGTCCATTAAATGAGCAATTTCTCCTTGACCTCTTCATTCTTGGTGAGCGGATCTCAATTCCCTGGTGACGGGTAACTTTATAGAGATCGTTTCTTGCATACCGAGAGTTTGCTATTCACGCAGTTTTGAAATACGTAAGAACAATATAGAGATCCGTGGAGATGGGCATGATTGATAAGTTGATGGCATACACAGTGCCAAAAACGCTTATATAAGCGAGGAACGCCTTCAGTATGATGAAGCTTTATTGTGATGTTAGTGCGACTGGACTAGAACGACGCTCTCAAGGCTTCGAAGATTTGAAGGGGCCAAAATGGCGATTGCCATAGTTATGGTGACCACCGATTAGCCAATCACCTTGCGAGGTTTTGGTCGTCTGTATGTAAGTATTTGTTTGTTTTCTGCTAGCATGCAGGGAAGGCAATGGCCCTACCTTCCTCGGATCTTGTGACTTTAGTTCTGACGAGCTGTATATTCGCTACCATTGAAATTGAAGGTGATCGAGAAACAACAACACAGTTACGAATCCTCACTTCGCGAGTGTGACCTTGCCCGAAATTACAAGTTCATTACCGCCATTGGTATCGCAGAAATTAAATTAAAAATTAAATTCAGTGCCACCAGGTGGCACTGAATTTTGGGAAGGGTTAGAGTTCCTGTATAGGCTCCCTACGGGAGCCAGAGTTGCGCATTTGTTTTCCCCGCGCCGCCACGCCGCTATTCGCCGAGATCCATCACGTGAGGAGCAAAGCATCCGGTGGCGTGCAAGAAAGCCACCTTTACGGTCGCTCCGCCGACGTTTCTCTTGCCCCGGCGTATGTTTCCCTGCTTTCCGCCTCCTTTTCCTCCTCTCCTGCTTTCCATGCGCGGCGGCGCGCGCGGCGCCGCTATTCGCCAAATTTAGTCACGTGAGGAGCAAAGCATCCAGCTTGTGCGGGAAAGCCTGCGCTACGGCCACGCGCCGAGGCTGAATGCGCAACTCTGCTACCGTAGGTAGCGTATACAGGAACTCTAGGAAGGGTCACGGGCGTACCAACTGTGGAAGGGGGGGGGGGGGACAAGGGGGCGCTTGCCCCCCCCCCCCTAGTTCTCAGAGTGGAGGGACAAGGCATGTGTTTCCCCCCCCCCCCTCTCCCCCTGAAACAGCCGCCACTGGGCAGGGCAAACACTGGCCGGCGGCACCCAAGGGATACCAAGGGCACCGCCCCCGGCACTGGAGGGGAGGGGGGGGGGGGGGGGGGAGGGTCTGGTTTGCCCCCACTCAAAAACAAGTTGGTACGCCACTGGGAAGGGTCTATTGCAGAAATCATTTTCGTAATCAGACTATGGCTTGTCGGAATGGTTCGACAATATTTTCTTTCACAGCCTCCTGAATAGCGTTTGCCTGGCAAAGTTATTAAAAAAAAATAACAACAACAACATTGAAACGCCTTAAAGTTGCCTGTCCGCAGGCTGCAAATGACCAAAGCCAGGGTCACACTGCTCTGCTCCTACCAGCATACAAAAGACAGTCTACAAATACGAGTCACCGCAATGTCTGTGGTTTGAAAGCCGCGTGCCAAGTTTCCTCCTCGAACTCATTGCCATGCGGCATTCGAAGCAGGAATTTCGCGGTGACTCGCGTTCGAATCTGTGTGCAGACTGTCTTTTGTTTGATGTATAAGCAGTGGGACCCCGGCTTAAGAGAAAGCTAAAAAAAATCTTTTGCAGGGCGTTTCTTTTCTTCTTGCGCTATGGTGGTTGGCCGCGTAAAGCAGTCTGAACCATGACATTACACTCCTTAATTGTGCAACCCAGTGGTGGTCCACGTAGATCATGGTTATTATTGTTGATAAAAAATGGCTATAAATAAACAAGGATTATCTGTCAGTGTTCGAGCAACTTAAAATTGTATATAGATGTTTCTTTTCTCTATTCTACATAAAGTAAAACTCGGAATCAGAGCCCTAAAGTTTGCTTCTATTGCGACATTAACAATCGCCCTTTCCGATTTTAGGACTATATCCACCGCCCAGCGTTCAGTAACTTGATTCATCTTGAATTTAAAAGTGTAGCGGACGAATTGCGCCCTCAACATAATTTGTAATAAAATCTCGACAAAGCTATAACTGGAGCTTTACAGTTTTTGTTTGAATTTACGTTATTTGGAGATAAAGAGTACCAGGTCCTTTTGTTGCTGTTGTTGTTGTTGTCATTTGATGAAATATTTTGGTTTTCCGTGAAAATTTGCTTCCTCTACGACTTGATACGCAGTCGCCTTAAACCCTTCAACCTGCTTGTGGCTCAAAACCGAGACGGGTTGGCCTCAGGAGAGCTGTACTGGGACGACGGAGAGTACATCGGTACGTTACATTTCCCTCCCCGTTCTCGTGAGTGCACGCCACCTATAGTAGCTGGTGCATCAACTATCCAACTCCGCCGTTGTTTGGGCACACAGTCTGAGCACCTATTGAACCCGAGGGTTGTGGCAGCGTTCGCTGTACTCTGCTCAACTCGTATCAAGAACCAGTACTCCATCCGCGCACACTTCGTGCCCTAGAAACGGTGGCCGAAATTTTGTTTGACGAGGTTTTCAAAAGGGTCCATTGATAGTTTTCAGACCTATATGTCAGAAGCTTCCATTGTTCTCCAACGCGAAACTTTCCCGCCCTTGCCCGCATGCACCTTACTAGTATACAATGGCGTACAGACAGCTGGATGCAGCGCTCAAATAGTCGCTTAATTTACATTAAGAAACAAAAGATGATAGAAAAAAAAACAATTTTGTTTTTTTTTCGAATGTAAATACGGAAGTTGAATGTTGAAAGGAGCGCTTATACCGCTCCGGTTAGCTCATATTTCCGTTTCAGGCGTCACTTTCAATATATAGAGTCTTGAAACAGAGCCGCGAAAGCCTCCTCTTTGCCACCAACAATGCCCTTCCAGCGGCTTTGAAGACGGTGCTCTACCGGAACACTTTACAGACGTGTTGTCGTTCGTTATTAGGGCACCCTGAACTACATTATCTCGCGCAACTGTGCTTATAGGCACGCAGCAACACGGTCGTTCCCCTCGGCGGAATTTCCTAAATATGGGAAAAAATCTAGCTCGATCTTACTCAATATCACAATTTTCTCGCAGGTTCCTACGAGAAGGGGGAATACAGCCTCGTCAAATTCATCGCCGTCAAGGTAAAGAGCGAGTGAAGCGCCCTCAGTTACATGTTTTACCAGAAAGAAAAAAAGTATTCTTTAAATATTACGTGGCTCGAGGTTCGAAAAGCGCCAAGCGAAGGATCTATGCGGGGCACAAGTTCGTCCGCTTATTTCGCGCGGGTTGTGGTGACGTCATAACGTCGAGCTCTGCTTGGTTCTGAATGAAGGATCGCGGGTAGACCTCGAGGCAGCTTGCTTTGAGGTCTACCCACTATCCTTCCAATCAGAGCCAATCAGAGCTCGGCGTCCTTCTGACGTCAGCGCAACTCCTGCGCAGGAAGCAGACGACCTGCCCTCCGCTTACTCCGTTTCCGCAGCGACATCACGATGCTGGCAGTCAACGGCACCAAATCGTCGCGGCGTTCATCGCTTCTGTGCGTTTCATGTCATCGACTAAAGCAATCACGCGGAGTGAACGTGCCGCGTTCCTGCGTTTTTGTTGGCGCGTGATTGGCTTAGCCGATGATAGCATATCCACAAAAAAATTAAAGACGTTTACAATTTTCTGTAACGCCGAATGGGAGTGGAGCTCTTGAGGAGGAGGAGGGGAGGGTATGGAGGAGAGGTTATGCCCCTCTTCTTCGTTGCTAAATTTAACGAGGAACTTTTTGCGCTAAATTTAGCGGGGAAATTTCACCCTCGTGACGTCACACGTGTTGCCACACGTGACGTCACGAGGATAAATTTAGCGGTAATAGTTTTCCGTCAGATTTAGCATGAAAAGTTCCGCGCTAAATTTAGCGGGAATATTGGCAATTCTAGATGCGTTTGACGTCACGTGACGTCATGTGTGACGTAACACATCGCGTGACGCCTTATGTCATATGTTTACTAAAATGAAGTCACGTGTGACGTCACGGGGGTAACGTCGTGACTACTCTCGTGAGGGTAACCCTCGTATCCCTCGCTTGGGCGACCATCGTCACGTCACACGTGACGTCACGTGTGACGTCATTGTGGGAAACGTCCCATAATGCAACGCGGGGTTACGCCGACGGCGACGCCGACGACGACACTCAAGCCGGAAATGGGCGCCTAAGAGCTGAGCTCTAAAATCACGAGTGCCGTGACGATGCAATTTTGATGCTGATTGATGGGCTCCATCGGATCTTGGCTGCGGTGGGAGAACTAATGCTAAACAAAGTGCTAGCCTACGTATCTCCAGTTCGCCCATATACGACACTTTTATTTTGCTCTAAATAACCCGAGGTAGTTGAAATGTACCATGAGGCTGGGTCTTCGTCTTGTCTGCTTAGCGTCTATACTGTATATACATCGTGCCCATGCATCAAAAATGGTCCCAAAAAGGAAACAAATGACGTCACAGTCGAACTTCTACGGTTGGCCGTAGAAGTTCAACTGTGACTTCTATGGCCTTTTAACCTTTTAATGGCCGTAGAAGTTCCGGCACAAATCATGAAAGTAGGCGAGTGTCGCTGCCATCGGGACGTCCCAACTTCTGACTGCCGAAGCTCTCGGAGACTGCCAAGCTGAAGAGCGACTCGCAGCAGGAGTGGTGTCTGTTGCATCCGGGGGGGGGGGGGGGGGGGGGGGTGCAGGTGTTTACAGAGCGGGGGGTCAGAGTACCAGATGTCTGAGAAACCCCCCCCCCCCCTTCCTCAAAACTCTTCCACATGCGGAATTAGCAAAAAAATTAAGGGGGGAGGACATTCCCCCTCTGAATCCGCCACTGCATGGTTACATCCACCTGTGCTGATGTGGCAGGCCACCACCAGGATCGTGGCCGGCGACCACATGACACTTCTATGACATCATGAGGCGGAAGTCGAGGGACCTCTTTTTAGGACGCGGTAAATGCACCGGTCGAAGATGGGTTCCAGGCGCCTGTGCTTCGTGTGCCAGGTGTCTCTCGAACGGTCGGAATCCATAGCCCCAAACACTTTCTTTCCCCGCAGAACACGGTGTCCAGCATGTGCGTGCACTGCAGTTACGACACCATCATGTTGCTGAACGCCGTCACGGTGTACGGCGTCGGCGAAAAGCCCGTTGACGTCCGCTTCAACAAGCAGTCCACCAACTTCACCTACAACCCGTCCGGGCAGGTGAGCCTCCGGGATTGTCTGCCTTCTCGAGTTAAGTTGGACATTGCGGCTCAGCTCCGCTCGGTTGCCTCAGTAGTCGGCCTTCCGTTGTTGCCCTCGAGTTGTTGGCGCCTACCCAAGGAGAAGATTGGCCAAGGATCACTGTTGTATAAAATATGAAAGTTTGGTTGGGGTTTTCTTGGCGCAAAACCAACTAGGTCTATAGAGTGCCAAAATTGGACGTCCCTTATCTACGAAGCAGAATAAAAAAAAGTAACCGCAATATATATTTTATTTGCGTAATAATACAGACGGGATTAAAATCAATTTTCCACTTTTCAACGTATTCCTTTCCGCGTTCAACGCATATGCTCCAGCGCTTCAGCAAAGGGTGGATGCCGCGGAAGAAAACATCTTGTTGTTAACTCCGGAGCCCGAAGCTACAGATTCGCAGCCGCTTCCAGCTCATTCCTGGACGGAACTTCATTCTGCCTACAACCGCTTTAAGTGGATTGGACAAAAAATAAAATCGCTCGGTTCCAGGTACTTTGAGAAAGGTGGATGATGAATGCACTAAGAGCGTAGACCTTTAATTTTTTTTTTTTTCTGTTTTCCCTCATGCCGCGTAGGGGCATTCATTGTGTTGCAGCAGCACACAAAAAGACCGCTAATTACGGCTTTTCGACCTGATCATAGGCTTCAAATTGTGCTCAAGCAGATCACAATGCAACGTCCTTTTGACACGGAACCACCTGGGAATGCAATGTTTGATTACTGGTCCTTTATGGTCTCAGAAGGCCATAAGAATAACCTTGTCCTACGTCGGAACTGCCTGGAACGTCTTGGGTCTTGGTTTCATTCATGGTCTGAATCTATCACTGAGGGGGCCTTTGACTTTGTCAAGCTGTCAATGTGACAACGTTTTTGTGCAGGTCTCCAGCATCACGCACTCTTTGAGGCAAATAAACTTTATTATTATTTTAATTTCAACAATAAAATAACAAAAAAGAACAAACCAAACTTAATAAAAAAAATTTTTTTTCTTTTTCTTAAACGTTAGAATAGCTTAAAGACAGGACGAGCGTGTTGTCAATAACTTAACGACTAACATAAGAAATGAAACACGCAGATAGTCATGGTAGTACTAACAAGAATCATGCATAATAATAAGCTCACGATGACTAAGAAAACTATAGCCTCTTCTGCGTCTACGATAAGGAAAGAGGGACATTGAAGACAAACAGACAAGACAGGCTTTGGACTTTCAACAAAACGTTTACTGGCTCGACTTTGCCTCCTGAAGATCGACGGGGGCGCCCGGGAGGTTGAGAGGGAGGGTGGTAAGTTAGGGAAGCGTGAGCCATGTGGCCCAGCTCGCAGCTACGCGTGCACGGTCGCCGTTACACGCAGGCCCGAGTGTCGACGGTGCCCTCTTGGGAAAAGGAGGGAGGAGGGGGGAAGGGCGTTGAGAAGAGGAGGGGGAGAAGATGCGCCGGCGGTGCCCTCTTGGGGAAGGAAGAGAAGGGGGGGAGGGGGGGGGGGGTGATGCGCGGTGAAGGGAAGGAGCCGAAGATATACGGGAATTTGAACTTTTTTATGCCTTTGGAGGAACCCCCTCGCCCCGCAGGAAGGGAATCTCTCGACCGGAAAGAGAAAGGGATGGGCTGGACAGGTTTGAGACAGAAGATTTGATAATCTAGAGACCCAAGGATTTCCCTGCCGAATCGAGATTTGTGCCTGCCTAGAATTTTGGTTTTCGAGAACTCGGGGGTGCACGAGGGGCAGCTTTTAGCGTGAGCCACGACTGGATGAAAGGAGTCGGGAGAAGGAGACGAGATTTCCTTGAGTGCTCCCGAAGACGGTCATTCACGCAGCGCCCCGTCTGACCGATGTACTCGGCTCCGCACACAAGAGGGATACTATATACTTCTCCCTTGTGCAGGATCGGAAGCACTGCGTGTGTCTTTTTGTGCATGTGGGTGGGGGCTCTGGGTTGCTGACTTGCTTGCACATGCCTCTTAATTTAAATTTACATGTGAAAACAACCCTGGTACCGAATCGATGTGCAAGTGCGCGCAGTCAGTGTGCCGTGTTGTGGGAGTGAGGAATGCACGCAGGGCGGGCAGGCCGGGTCCCGGACGGGGCCTTCTTTGAGCGGCTTCTAGACTGCAGGATGAGGTTCTTGCTGATGTTATCTAGGAGGTCCACCGGGTAACCCGCCTTCCGGAGCCTGGTTGCCTGCAGCGGCAAGCTCTCTCTGACCTTGTGATCGCAGGACTTTTTTCAAGAGGAGGAAAGGGGAGACTGAACGATTCCGGACTTAACGGTTTTTTAATGATGGCTAGAGAACGGGAGGACAGGTTTCTGGGAGCGCTTTTGAAAAGACCAGCATAAAGGGTGGGACGAGTGGGTTAGTCGAAGATCGAGAAATTTGAGACCCTCCTGAGTAGGGTCTTCCTTTTTGAAGGTGAGGCTGTTGGCGTTGGTTTGGAAAGCTTGAAGGATGGGAGCATCTGAGTTGGAGACGGGATGAAGAAAGAGGTAGTCGTCCACGTACCGGACGATCTTACATTCATTACCCGAGCGAGCAAGAAGCTCCTGCACCGCGCGATCCACAAAACAAAAAAAAAAAGATGAATTTCGCTGAGGATCGGCGCGAGGCAGGAACCGATACACACGCCCGACCTCTGAATGAGGACTCTTCCCTCGTGCTCAACCAGAGTAAAGCTCAAGTAGAACCGGAGGAGATCGCGGAAGCCTCCGACCGGGATTGAGGACGCGTTTTGGAACCTCGTCATTCCATGCAGGTCGATTGCCTCGGACACAGAGCACAGAAGAATTTTGAGGTCGAGATTGTAATACATGTCTTCGACATCCAGCGAGAGCATGTTGTGGTCCTGATTTAACTGCAACGGTCGGATAAAATCAATCACCTCAAGGGAGCCCTTAACGCGGAAGGGGTGGGGAAGATCAATGGAGGAAAGGTGCCTTTGTAGGAAGAGGGCGGGAGGTTTCTGGCCAGCATCCCCCCTCAGAGAATATGCTTCGAAGGGGAATGTTTGGCTTGTGCGTTTTTGCCGTGAAAAAGATGGAAAGGTACTGTTTTGACGGTGCAGAAACCAGCGTTTTTAAGGAAGAGAGGCTGAAAAAATCACAAACAGATTTGACTTCGGACCGGAGTGTACCCGATGGGCGCTTTTTTAGGGGGACAAAGTTCTTTTTTAGTGCCTCATCTACTTTCTCTCCAAATTTGTCTCTGTTCATTACAAAAAATCGGCCCACCTTGTCCGCCTCCAAAAGCACCAGGTCGGATCGGCGGAGATCCTCCACGACGCGTGTCACCTCCGAGCGCACCGGTGCACTCGCGCCACCGTGATGGCAAACCACGCCGGCCGCCGCCCCGACAAAGTCCTGTCAATCACTCTCCGGGACCCTCGCTGCAATCTCGTAGACGAAGGCCAGCTGGTAAACTCTTGATGATGGCGAACTTGGAGCCTTTTGAAAGAAGGGCAGTTGCCTCTGCCGACAAATCGGTGTCTGACAGATTGATGGGGGGGATCCAAGCCTGCCTTGCGGCGGGAGGCAGAACCTGCGAGGATGCCCTGGAGCACGCGTCTCCACGATTTCTCAAGGAGGAGGTCTGAAGACTTCCGAAGAAAAACGAAGGCGGGGTGCGTGTAGAAGCAAGTGCCGAAGCATTCGGTCATCAGAGGGCACAGCCCAGTCCTCATCACACGGATTTTCCGTGACACTTCCTTCCTTGTTATCTGCATTACTCTGTAAGTGGAAGGCCAACTTGATGGTTCGAAGCCGAGGAGTCGGTGAACTGAGGGATGGGCCACGTTCTCCCGAAGGCAGACTCCCAAGGCTCGCAGTTACAGGCGGAGGAGACTCATCCTTGACACGAAGATGGCGGCGTGGAAGAACGAGGATGGGTCAAACTCCAGGTGGTTCAGTGGGTTACCAGCAGGACAGCACATATATCATGAAGCTCACGGAAGTATAATGTAGATGGTTGAGCTTGTTGGTTTCTAATTTACGATATGGAAAGAGGGACATTGAAGACAAACAGACAAGACAGGCTTTCGACTTTCAACAAAACGTTTACTGGCTCGAACGTCGACGAAAAACTTTTCATTCGCATAGATTAAGATAAACATAGAAGGAGAAGCTAACAGAGGTGACAGAAAGCAAGATATCCGTTTTTTTAGGCAAAAATAAAAGTTATACAAAGAAAATACTAATTATTTAGTAATGATGTTTTTCATCCGTACCGTTGGAGGTAAATAAAAATAAACACGAGCCCTAGATTTTAAATAAGTTATCCAACCATTATTCGCGAGTATTGTGTCAAAGTGTCTCCGCTGTTTTTCTCAACGTTCCCCTACAGAGTCACCTAATAAGCTGGGCTTCACAGTAACGGCACTCCGGCCATCTTGCAGCCAAAACTTATTGTTGTAACTTCTCTGATCAGTCGAACGAAGGTGAACGAAACGTCGGTACTCTAAGCGTAGCTTATGGCTCTAATCAGTACCACCTAGAAGACAAGGTCCGCGTCTTGGTCCCCCAAATGTCATCACACGTATAGACCTACACGGCGCACACTGGCTCTCATCAGTGTCGCCGATAGTGCGTCTGCGGCGATGCCAGGACGCATGCGTCAGCCGCTTTGCGGCGCACACTCGTCGGGCTGGTCCACTAACGTTTGCGTAAAGCGCCGGTGGTATTGCTCTAATAGACCAGCGTCTGCACTGTTCCATGGGCGCCGCCAGGTTTGTTTATGCTGACGTGATGACAGAGTAAGGGGTCTGCTTTCTTTGCAAAATTCTGTTTCTTTGTTTGTTTGTTTTAATTCTTGCACATATTGTAGTGCAAGAAAGTCAGAAATGCATAGTCACGAAATTCCAAGAACAACACCCATGCCACAAGTGCCACAAAAGGCAAAAATCTTGCTTTATGCGCAGTCCCTCTCTTTATAAGTGCCTACTTTTGAAAATATTTCCTAATTTATTGCTGGGGGCTGGGATTTCGGACACTGGTCTATATGCACACCTAACATTCCATTCTTTTGCCAACTCGCAGTTCATGAAGGTGTCCAGTCTCCACTACCAGCTTACGAAACCTTTCGTTTTGACATGGAGCCGCTGATCGCCGTGTGGATCAGCGACCAGGCCTCCTCGGCTGCCAGGACCACGTGCGGCCTCGGCATCATAAATAAACATTTGCGAAGCATTAGGGGAAAAAAATGTGTTTACCTAATTTTCGTTACTTGAAGATGTGAGCGTACCTGATTTCACTGACATATTTTCGTTAATAATTTGGTTGGTCGTGTTTACGATGCTATCCTTTTTATATAAATATGCACGATTGCTGTTTAATTAAGGCCTCGCCCGCATTCCCACGTTGCTTTCGCTGAATTTATGTGCGCACACGGCTGCGGCCATATTTGAACTCGGGACTTGGACACTCGGCGAGAAAGTGGACAATCTTGACGTCTTTCTCGCCGAGCGTACAACTTAGAGCCCCTGCACTCACTATGGTGGCACCCTTTGTGTCCCACAAATGACCTTATTTCATTTATATTTTTTATACTTAATAGCTCCCATTTACTGCTCTTCAAGTTATAGTACTTTCTTTTTTTTTCTGATACAAGCGATGTTATTAATCATCACAGCTCTTAAAACTATTTTTATTTTCTTCAGATACATGTAGGGGCAATAAAAGTACCATATTAAACGTGAAAGTGTATAGCAAAAGGCGCTGAAAAGACTGATTAAATTTGTTTACAAGTTTACTACATCGCTGTTACGCAGACTTATTTATTGAGAAGTATGTACGTGGGGCTACTGCTTTTTGAAGCGCAAGACTATAAAAATTATTAAACACCAGCGAACTGTTCTTTAATTGAGCAAGTCATGCGGAGAATTAAACGCAAACTTTTTATGTGTGTGCGTGTGTCCGCGCGCGCGCGTGTGTGTGTGTGCGTGTGCGTGCGTGCGTGTGTGTGTGTGTGTGTGTTTGTGTTTTTGTGTGGTGTTTAAGATTAACAAATTTGTTTTAAGAAATTCATGAAAGCCACACTTATGAGGTTTGTGCAGGTGAGTTATACGGTTATATGATCAGTCGGCTAATTCAGTAAATATGTTAATTCACTTTTAATTACATTTTGTTTCAATTACAAACTTGCTGAGAGTCGTCGGAAACCACCAAATCAATTATTTTTTTATAAATATTTTAGCGCGTAGGAAACAGTATTGCGGTAATTGTATACCACTCGTGCAACAGGTACAAGAGTGCAGCTACGATAAGAAACGTAAAAATCGCGCGTGCGCCTCATCGCACCGATTCTAGAACTCACCTGCAAAGACTACATAATTGTAGTTTCCACAACTTTTTTTTTTCAAACAAATTTCTTAAGCTTAGAAAAAACACCCCGTATAATTAAATTTGAGGCAGAAGGTATTTATGCCACAGACACGTTCCTTCATCACAACCTGCTAGAACAGAGGTTTGTGCCTTAAACATAACGAAGTTCAACAGCGTCCACTGGTAAAGGAAAATACTAACCAAAGCAATTCCACTTTTACAATAAGGGAAAGAAAGAATAATTTCATTGGGACAGGACTGAGGATGATGGAGGGAGTAAAAAGGAGATTGAAAAGCGACCGGGCTAAATATGAGACAATGGGCGATATTGACATAGAGTTCAGGATAATTGGGGCAGGAGGGGTCAAAGCGGAAACGGTACAAATAAAGTTTTGAGGGAAGCGTCCCAAAACGATGGTCTGAACTAGGGGATCGCTGGAGCCTGGTCAAGAGTCTCGCGGGTTTGCTGATTACACAGCTCATTTCCAGAAATCCATGAATGTCCAGAGATCCACTTTATATGTGGTACGAAGTTTCACACTCATAAGAGCCATATCTAGGCCCGAGTTTTTATCCGAAGGTAAGGTGCGCTTTTGAAACGTCCGAAAGGTGGCTTAGGAATTAGTTTGCTGGATTGGAGGAAGATCTGTTTTTGCACGTGTCCAGGGAGGAGCGGTGTGTAATACTGTCCTCTTGAAGGATGCCGAGGCGTTCCTGATATTGTGCGTTGTGGAGTTGAAGCCGGACGTAAGCTTGAGCTTGAAATTTGGCTTTGGATACCGACCAAGGCACGGGCTCGGGCGCCTGGTTTTCGAAAGCGCTTTCTGTGCGCGAGTCCTTGTGCGAGCGAAGGATTCTTCAGAGCTACGCCTTTGCACCCTGGAGGCTGGCCTTTGCCAGCGCCGAAGCCAGCTGGTGAGACGGAGCATGTTCTTCGGCTCCCCACTAGATGGCGCTGTCAATTCGTCCTTAGTAGAGTTCCTTAACCCTTTGTTTCCCATAACGTTACCACTTGCCCAAATACAAATCTTACCACGTGGTTTTACTTTGAGGGCAATAAATAAAACAGGAAAACTAGGACGGGTCTAAACAACATTTTTTTTTTCTTAAACAAAAGTGATGTACAGATATGTGTACGCCAGGAATACCAGGTCACTCTTTGCGAAATTGTTCAATTTCGCAATACTCTTTAATACAAAGGTATCCCAGCACTTCCTGCATTGCATCCTGCTACGTCGGTTGCATCCTGGCAGCTTTCATCGCGGCACATTCTTTAGCGGGACCTTCATCAGGACATGGTTTACACTAGAGTCACTGTGACACCATCGCATCTCACCGAATCTGGAATGTCCGAAGCTAGGTTCGACAGGGTGTTGAACCGACTGTTTTCGAGGTCTGCTTCAGTAGCATCTTCTTCCTTCATTAAGCCGATTGCCACTTGCAGCTTGAACTCTGCAAGCTGCAACTGGGAGAGCCCTTTACCGCGTGGTAGGGGAGCCAGCTGTTTACCACTGCAAGATCAAGCAGGTGAAAAATGATCCTCGTGTACCATTTCTTGCTCTTGAGTTCGTTTCGGTAGAATGAAAGAAGCTGATCCGCTCGGTGAACACCACCCATACTCTGGTTGTAGACTTTGACCAAGCTCGTTCTAGGTACTTCGGACTTCAAGAGACTTCTCGTTCTTCAGTGGGCAACGCCCCATCCTCTTATTCCTCAGAGTGGCGGTGCATCCAAGCCCGCGGCGCTTCATTTCAGTTAGAAGTTCAACTGACGCAAGCAAGTTGTCACAGGATATTTCTTTTCCTTCACAGCCATCAGTAAGTCGCACTTCAATCTTTCCACTTTCACCTATTTCGTTTTCAATGTCTTCTAGGTCAACAACAATGTTGTCACCGTAAAGCTTGATTTTATAGACATAGCCTGACCTTCTAGCACGTGTCCAAAACTTCATAACCCCACTTTTTCGGCTTTTTCAATATATAAACCTTCAGGTTGTGTCTTCCCTTAAAAGGTATCATCATCTCGTCCACTGCAAGGCAGGGCTCCATTTCTGCGGCTTGCCAAAACTTCTTATTGAGTGGGTCAAGGATGTGATGTATCTTGTAGAGCCTGCCATAGCCGTCCTGTTTTATTGTTTTGTTGTTTATTGTTGTTGTTGTTGTTTTTCATTATTGTTGCTGGCGTGGAACAAGAAAATCACTTCATCGAAGCGATTACGGGGCATGCGCTCAGCAATTCCTGACTGGCGCAACAACCGTGACCAATACATCGTCTGAAGGGCAAGGACACTACAGACATGTAGAGAATCATCCCAATAAATTTTCTGATTTCCTCGCTTCTGATCAGCTTCACCTTTGGTTTGTACTCCTGGATCCTGTATCGATTTGCTTCAATCGTGAAATGTTCTATCAAATCTTCATCAACGATCTAAGTGAACATACTCAGTGGTGTTTTCACTTCTGCTGCCGTCACCCATAGAATTATTTCACTTGTCTGAAAGCCCTCATTGAGTTGCAAGTCTTTTTGACCCAGTAACCATGTCCTTTCTACCTTGTTCTTCACAGTTGTTGATTCCTGCACTTGTGATTCATCTGTGTCGGATGAGTCCGATGAATACTCATCGGAGGAATCCTGACTGGCTGGGGCTTCCACATGGTCATCATCCGAATTGTCCAACTCGGAACATTCGCTACCACTTGGGCAGTCGAAAATAATAGCTTGAATATCTTCTTCTGTAAGGTTGACGCCTGTCACAGTAAAAAAAAATGTTTGCGAGAACACTTCCAATGTGTGCATATGCAGACACACTTGTTTTATAACGTATATATCACAGGAGAGACCTCCACGGAACCGTGAATGCTGCGAGCGAGAATATAAAGCACCATTTTCCTGACGGCAACGCACGTGGACGCTGTCAAGAAAACAGGCGCTGTGCACATTTTACAGTGCTTTTACCCTTTACAATTATGCAGAATGCACCGTCAGGGATTTCTATCTATGCAAAAAAGTAATTTATACAAAAAAAAGGGTTTATTACAAAAAAAATTATATTAAAACAAGGGGAACATACAGTGAGCCGCACCTCGTGGAAGTAGCCATCGTGTTGTTCTGCCCGCCGCACTTTACTGGACGCCTTGTGCCATCCATTGGGAGTTGTTTGAAGCGCGGGAATGGCACGAACGTAGCCGTTGGGATTTCAAAGTTCTGTTCTTTAGGCATGACCTGTAATAAATCAATTACTTTTGGCAACATATGTTGCCATTAGGTTATAAAGGGTTAGTATAGAGCTCCTGAATAGGCTCCCTACGGGAGCCAGAGTTGCGCGTCTGGTTTCCACATGCCGCCGCGCCGCTATTCGCCAATATGCGATCACGTGAGGATCGGGGTCAAATGCCGTGCAGGAAAGTAGACTAGAGTTCCTGTATAGGCTCCTGTAGGGAGCCTATACAGGAACTCCAGTCCTAGAGACCTAGACAACACCCAGCCCAGTGCACCCGGGTTGGCACTGGGCTAGGTATTGTGTTCACCTAGTTTCGATTTCCACCTCATATTCTTCACAGTGTTGTAAATAGTTCGATGCTATCATCATTCTTCTCTTTTTCATCTTTCTTTGCTTCTATTGGCTCGATCTAATAAAAGGACAGTCTATCAGAACGCTCGGACCAGACTGGTTGCTCACTTCACAGTGTCCCCGTAGCCCGGGACACAACACTGGGTGCCACCGCCGAGAGGGCCAACGAAGAGGTGGTGGTGTTGGGATTCTATTGTGGGACACGACAGTG